TAACCCTAACCCTAACCCTAACCCTAACCCTAAGGATAACCCTAAGGATAACCCTAAGGATAACCCTAAGGATAACCCTAACCCTAAGGATAACCCAGGATTGGACCCCATCGACGACGACTTTGTGGACAACAGGGTCATGGGTGATGAAATCGTACCATACCCCGAATCGACTCCCCAGCCCAAAGGAGCAGTGGACAACGGAATCATGGGTGATGAAATAGAACTGTACCCTGAATCCAGTCCTGTTAGCAACAACCTCCTGACACCTCCCACTACAAGAACCCGCCGCTCCCAACCAATCCTCAACCAATCTGATGGGGAAGATTCCAGCTCCACCAGTAGCAGCATGGGCTCCCCTACCCCTCCACAGCCACCTCAGCACCCAGCGGACATCGAGCGCGTCTACATCGCGTCGCCAAGAAAGCCCAGGGTCCCGGCTACCCAAAGTTCATCAAGCACAACTTGGTCCTCACAACGGTCATCAAGCACGATCCCGTCATCCAAACCAAGGATACCTTCATCCCGGCCGACCATACGTGAGATCAAAGTGTGGATAGATATGGTCTCCCGACTGGAACTTCATCTCATGGATCTGCCCCTCACTGAAGATGGATATGACGCCCTTCTCGAGTCAGTTATAACAATGGCTCAGGTCCATCATGCCATGCCCACCCTACAGGAAATGGTTGACAACGTTAGCGGTGCTAAGGTCAGTCTATCCCAACGTTTGCCACGCTATAAGTCCTCTGATTATATATTATATTGTTCAGATGAGAAAGATGCACTTGAGTTTTTACAACATAATAGACGTCTTGGTCCTTCCTCAATACCGAAAACAATTGGATAGGTGCACTCATCACGGGTTGATATCGAAATGGGCAAAAAAATTGATCCGCGTATTTAAACCTATCGATGACCGGCCAATGGCACAAGGGAGGTAAAAGGCATATAAGGGAGGTATGAGGGCAAGTACGAGGGCAGGTACGAGGCGTACGAGGGAGGTATGGGGCGTATGGGGGAGGTGAGAGGCAGGTGCGAGACGATCTAAAGTCACTACAACAAACGGCCTATGCACATACTGTACACCTATTATTCACAGCACATCGACTTCAGTATTAATCAAATATTTTTCACTCACACATTATCATATTCTGACTTGACAAGGGGGGTTCATATTATTGACGCATGCTATGTAAAAGTAATGTATATAAAATTTATACCAAGTTGCCAGCTCGTCGAGACAAAACCCGTGTGCGCCAGACATCGACCATTGTGTTACGAACAGTTACGCGACGTTGCATGTCAATGGCAGTCAAGAACATACCCGTTCCTGGTCCAGCCTCGATCTCGCTGACAAAATAATGGTACTTGTTGTCTTCAGCCTTGAAAACGGCTACGTCGATGCGACAGAAAGAACGAAGGTCGGACACGACATGTCCCCTAGCCTCGCGGACCTCAATCAATCCTATCAACATGGTTCTCGCAAAGGCGAGGAATTCTTTCTTTCCCCGTTTCATGTCCTTAATGTTGAGGCCGCCATCACTAAGAGCGCCGCTGGGGGTAAGATATGTTAGTGAAATACTATGTAGAAGATTGATACTTACGGCAAGGCATCCAATGGGGTGGGATACATGACGTCCATAAGGTCCACCTCGTGTTCGTTTATGGTGTTCACGATATGCGTGACCTCCCCTCCGATAAAGTACACACGAAGCTCACCAACCTTTGACATTGTGGGTAGAAACGTCATCTGGAACCACTGGGGACGAATTGGGATGCCGTTTATCTTGAGTCCTCCGTAGTTCTCCTCGATCTCCTTGACCATCTGCAAGAGCGTCTTAGTACGCCTGTGGTCCACAGACCCACGCGATCGGAACCAAACACCTCCGGAACACTCGTCATAACCTCGCTTGTAGACGACGTTAGGACTGATTTCCTCGTCTTCTTCAAGCTGGGTCGGGTCGAGACGAGAGATCATGGGGGTTAGGTACCCAGCCTTTGTCGCTATACGCCCAATGTCGGTGAGGTAGGTGATCTTGTCAGCGGAGATGAGGCTCTCCCAAGGAGATGGGAAAACGAGCTTCTTCCGGGCGAGCTTCAGCAGCTGCTCAAAGAAAACCTTGAAGCTGGCCTTAGTCCACCCAGACGGATTATCGGGTCGTCTGAAAAAATCAAGTCAAAGACCAGGTACAACGAGAAGGTGAATATACGTACAGGAAGTCGTCGCTGAATTCCACCGAAGCAAAAATCATCTCTGCACCCATTATTCTGTTATCCCAATTTCCCATGCTGACTGTGTCGGAAAACTCTTTGAACAGCATGAATCTGACATCAAATTCAGGTCGTTGCATGGCGCCCGCCACAAAGTATGTCTGACAATGGTCAGAATATTAGCATTATAATATTGAATATTGAATTTGTCCAGACTTACCCAGTCGTCCATGTTAACAACAACAGGATTTTTTATTAATTGTGCATAATAAGGCCACTGTTGTTTCTTCTGAATATTACGCTTTGGGAGAAACTCAATTTGGCCAGGAAAAGCTGCCTTCAGGGTGTCGGCGATGTCCTGGGGCAGGACGTCGTGGTGATGGTAAAGGGTATCAGAGCCATGGGCCCAATGATGAACGCTCTCAACGAAAAGGAGTCGAATTCGTGGTTGGCCAGGTTGAAGGGAAAGGTTATCGGGAAAGATGGGCGCCTTACGATTGCCTACGCCACTCACTCCTGCGCCACCAGCGACGTCAAACAGTTGGGCCTGAACCTGGGTCGCCTCGGCCTGCTCGTCGTCGTCTACATCCATTCCCGTGTTGTTCTGGTCCACATCCATCTGCTCATTCTCATTGTCCGTATCCTCGTCGGTATCTTCGACCCAAAGCGCTGTCGAGTCATCTCGTCGCAGGAACTGTCTCGCCTTCTCCCGATATACTTCGGGGACCTGTTTCCAAGACACGGAACCTGACGCGAGCGCGATTGCAAGACCCCACTTTTTCCATTCCTCGATCGTGAGCGATCTCTTGACGTCCGCCGCATTCAAAGTTCCGACAACGGCGTTGCGGTAACGGTGCATAGGGCATTGGGGAGTGCAGTGAGGATGGGCTACGGAGGAGACAACGTGATCTCTCCACTTGCTGTGGTGGGAGGTCCTCACAGGCGCGGCCCCGACGACGATAACCTCGCCATGATAGCTGTAGCGCTCGTTTGCGTTGTCGACCCTACTGTGACCACTCTCCTCATGCAGGCAGGTGTGTCTGCAGATAGACCACGTGGACCACGAGGTTGACGATGACATAGGTAAAGAGGTGGTAGACTGTAGAGTGGCGGCAAAGTAGGGCGGTGGTGGTCGAAGTCAGAAAAGCGAAGGATCAACTTTGATCTTATCTTCGCTGATCATCATTGTGGGCACGTGTCAGAAGGCGCTACGTCATGGCCAAACGAGTTGCAAAACTATGAGCATAAATACATTTTATGGTAGCACAGACGAGGTTCGAACTCGCATCTCCAGAAACTTGAAGGAAAGCGTCTGAATGCTCTACCTATTGAGCTATGTGACCGGTTAATAATTAACGTCAGTTCGCAATTTTGACTTGTTCTTGGTAGTACCATCTACAACACTCTGCTCTCACCTGCTCTTACCTGGACTTTGTCTAGATTTCATCCACCTGTCTCACCTGCTCTCACCTGAACTTCTTTTCAGATTTCACTCACCCGTCTCACCTGCTCTCACCTGAACTTCTTTCCAGATTTCATCCACCCGTCTCACCTGCTCTCACCTGGACTTCGTCCAGATTTCATCTACCCGTCTCACCTGCTCTCACCTGGACTTCGTCCAGATCTCACCTGGACTTCGTCCAGATCTCACCTGGACTTCGTCCAGATTTCATCCACCCTTCTCACCTGCTCTCACCTGCTCTTACCTGGCCTTCGTCCAGATTTCATCCACCCGTCTCACCTGCTCTTACCTGGACTTGGTCCAGATATGGCCAAACGAGTTGCAAAACTATGACCATTGGAACGTCAATGGAACATCTATGGTAGCACAGATGAGGTTCGAACTCGCACCTCCAGAACTCGATGGAAAGCGTCTGGATGCTCTACCTATTGAGCTATGTGACCGAATGTCATTTTCCAATTTTGACTTGTTCTTGGTACTTCGTCCAGATTTCATCCACCCGTCTCACCTGCTCTCACCTGGTTCTCACCTGCTCTCACCTGGACTTCGTCCAGATTTTATCCACCCGTCTCACCTGCTCTCACCTGGTTCTCACCTGCTCTCACCTGAACTTCTTTCCAGATTTCATCCACCCGTCTCACCTACTCTCACCTGGACTTCGTCCAGATTTCATCTACCCGTCTCACCTGCTCTTACCTAGACTTCGTCCAGATACCAGACGTATGGTAGCCAGGTGCTCTACCAGTTGAGCTACACAGCAAGCGATCTACTTTCCAGTACCATCTACAACACCTGTGAGACGGAGCTATGTTAGGTACGTTATGGCCAAACGAGTTGCAAAACTATTACCATTGGAACGTCAATGGAACATTTATGGTAGCACAGACGAGGTTCGAACCCGCACCTCCAGAACTTGATGGAAAGCATCTGGATGCTCTACCTATTGAGCTATGTGACCGAATGTCAGTTTGCAATTTTGACTTGTTCTTGGTAATACCATTACAACGCTACCCTCTCACCTGGACTTCATCCAGATTTCATCCACCCGTCTCACCTGCTCTCACCTGAACTTCTTTCCAGATTTCATCCACCCGTCTCACCTGCTCTCACCTGGACTTCGTCCAGATTT